ATATCGCCAACCACGCACCCGATGCATCCATGCACACAGCCAAGTGGAGTAGCAGATTAACATCGGCCTTGGTGAAAGCTGATGTTATTATACCCACTGGTGAGCATATGTGATGAATCAAAGCATCTGGGGACAGACCTGAAACCAATGCCTAGTTGTAAGCCTTGCCCATCGTACTACAACTCGAAGGGGAATGTCCGATTCACTATCCCACTAGAATTCGTGTAGTCCGAATTTCACCGTCTCTAGAAAGGTTACCCAGAAGCAACCGGGGCCCTCTCCTACGTCTGTTGGTGTGCACCGTGTCGAATATCTCATATCCAATCTCAAAGGCAAAGGCATGCAGAGCCCACCAGTTCCGCCCTACCCGAGTTGATGACAAATATGATATCAAACATAGTAGGACGACTATCGAGTTGTGAATGGCCTGATCGAGCGGCAAGCCCTACCCAAAGACCAATCTAGGATAACGTATTCCCAGGGTGTGATAGCAATGAGGGAAATGTTTCTAATGTGATGACATTTACATGGGAAACTGATGGAAGGGCATGCCCCTGGTCCTGTCGAAAATCCATAATGAGTTCCTCCGGAAACGTATCACGGGGTTTTCGGATGTCCCCAAGCCTACCACGAAAAGTAGCTCTGCCGACGTGCGAGAATACTTGTGAGATTTCTCATGGGACTTCTTCCATGCATCGGGCAACATACTCGACCGTAACACCACTACTCCGAGTAGCTGACACGCATGTACATCATTATAGTTCTTGAGGGGCCTCCCTTCCTACTGATGCCACCACAGTCATCTCCACGATACTGACCATCATCTCCTCCCATGCTACCGGCCCAAATATCATATCAGGCGGGGCATGCTTGGCCGGCCATGCTGGTACGAGGAGCCAAGGGACCGACATGCTACCATTCACGTCACCAACAACAACTGTATTATCGCTGATGTCCTTCTCACAGTGTGATATACAAAATCCAAGGAAGAATGACAAAATCCAAGGAAGACGAGTCAAAGGGTAAACCCGAAACCCGACAAGGCAACCAGAAACCCGAACTGCCGAGAGCGAACGACAAATCTCCTTGGATTTTGTCGTTCTTCCTTGGATTTTGTACTTTACGTCCTTCTCACACTAGTAGTCCTTCTCACGTTCCTCTACGGCTCTGCTCCGAATCTTCGACATTTTTCGTGCAATACATGCAATTAGGTCATTTTTAAACGCCTACTTATCTGTTCCTCCTCCCCACATGCGCGCAATCCGAAAGGAGTTGATATGCGATGAGAAAGACGGAGTTACCGAGTAGTGGCAGCAGCCCAGCTGGATGGATAGGTGTTCATAAAGTTTACAAGAATTTCGGAGTTGAATCGAAACGGGCCTGTTTTGTATCATACCAAGAGTAACCTAAGATATGTTTCCTCTCAGTTATATTTGTAGTATAGCTACCACTACTCCCTCGAGGGTCTCCAGCATCACTCGCTGTACTACTTACAAGGCATCTCGTATTGTACGCACAGCAACTACACTATGACTGACAACCACAACAACAACATCAGTCAAAAACCCGAAGCCTTCACTGAGTCAGCAGCAGCAGCCCCCCCGGGCTTTCCTCCAGCTGTTGGGTCTGAGGAGCAGTCAAGACTAGTCGTCCCTGGTATACTGCCTCTCTCATTACTATCATAACCACCCTTAACAGGTATTCGCCAGGTCGGGCCAGGAGGGGAGGGGACCACCAACAACGACAGTGCCCCCGAGCCTTGGGATGTGAGCCCAGCTGGGGAGTATACAGTCCAGCAGAGGAAGTAGGCCAACAGCAACCACCCCTATCACTACCTTTGCATTCTTCAGGCTGCGAGAGCTCATACCTAAGACCCCCAGCCCCAGCTACTCCTACGACGTGAACTTTGGCCAGGCTCAAGCAGTTAAGGATGGTCAGCAACCAGCCCCGATAATGCCGAGGTTCTTCCCATTCATGGCCCCTCCACCTCAAGCGTCGGACGGTGGGGCCACTCAGGCAACCAAGGCCTCCTAGGCACTACTGGGATGTATCCTAGTGTTACTCGACATTTGTATGCCATGTCGTCATACTGTGAGGTACTTCTCCCAACCTGGGTATCAACAACAACAAGGAGGAGGAGGAGCCGCTGCTGCTACTACTACTGCCGCGCCCTCCAGTGCAGTATGGAATCTCCCGATTAAGACTACCCCTCAGGTCCCCGGACCAGACCAGCAAGTCCGCG